TTTTTCTTTTCCATTTTGTTTTCTTTCGCCGACAGCATATTCCCTATGTCACATCTCTTTTGCTTTATGCCTTGTCACCTTCTTCCTTCCTTCGCAACGAAGGCAATCCTTTTCCCTCTATATAAGAGCCTCTCATTCCTCCGAAGAGGTAGGTCACTCAGGAGCCCTTCCTCAGACGCTCTCCTCTCCTCTCTTCCTCTCTACACTTCTCTCATTTCTTCTCTGCACTTCTCTCTTCTCTGCATTTCTCTCATCTCTCTCTCTCTCAGAAGATACTCTTCTGCCCTCTACCTGCTCCATCTCCTGCAACAGCTATCTTGACCTCATAGCTCATACCAGGTCACATAATTCACCTTAATTTCCAGGTTCTATCTTTTCCTCCTTTTCATATTCCTAGCATGTGTGATTGTAATCTTCGTTCTCTCCTTTCCTATTGCCCTCAACACTGGAAAATCTTTTCCAATTATTGCATATGTAAACAGTAAGTTTGTTTTACAGTTTGTTTACAGTTAGTTTGATTTTCAGTTTGTTATACAGTTTGTTATAATTTGTTTACAGTTTGTTTTCCTTTTCGATGTATCTGTACAAATTTTTATATAAGAATGTAATGTGATGTTATGCAATTTAGTATTTAGTATCAAAATAGGTAATCTTAACGACACACATTGGTTAGTCATAGATATATCAATTTTACCTTTTATTTGCATAATTCTATTCTGTTTAAACTTTTACAGAATTCTACAAGAAATACTAAAATATAACAGCTTAATATTCACATACTTAATCTAAAACATTTTTTGACCCTAAAATACCCTTGGTAATACAAACTTTTTCAAGTAGGGGCAATTTTGGTCATTTAGAAGGGTAGAATGGATATTTTTATAAAAAAAATAATGACATTCTATTAGTAATTAAAAACAATTAATTGACCTTGTGGGTGATGTCACACCGCATATCGATGATGTCACGCACCATATCGATGAGGTCATTGTCCACTATTGTTAATAAATGCTTTTGTTTCTATTAGGAATTTCTAGTTTACCATTGACTAATTAATTAAAACACCCCTAAACAAAAAGTTACTATACTATAAGATAAAGGTATCTATCTAAATGTTTAAAAATGTTGAGCACTTTAAGGGTTTACATCACAAGCGATGTAGTCTAACAAAACCAT